TTTTTTTTACAAGCATTCAAAGTTTGAATTTTAACAACATATGTAAAAATCACGAAAATCACAAAAATTCGCAAATTATTTCAAGCTAGAAATTCATAAAAAATTTTCTTTTTAAATCTAAGATTAGAAAATTTTTAATTATCTATAATATATCCTAGACAGATAAACCGTCTTTGCTCAGAATCGTTTTTTGTATACAATGATATAATATCATTGGATTCAAATTTAATTCAATCCATTACAGTAACCCACTTATAACCAACTGTACAGCAGAGCGACATCCACGACTGACTTACCCGCCTTTTTTTTTTTTAGTATCATAATGTTAAATATTAAAAAATAATTACTATGTAAGTATTATAAATACATTATTTTATACAATTAAATTAAATTTAAATTAAGTTCATATTGGAAGTAGTGTCAATGGACTCTCCCTTCCYTCAAGCTGTCCAGTCTGGTAAAAATTGTTATCCAAATTACTTATTGTATTTATGACTTATGTTATACAGATTATATATTTTTTCTTTTTTCTACTTTAATAAAAAAAAAAAAAAGTTTAAATCATAAAATATTAATTTACCTCATCAGCAAATAATTTAATATCATCTTCTCCAATCGTCAAGTTAATAGAATCTTCATTATTATCATCTTTGTTAAGTTCATGAACAGACTTTACCTAAATCAAGTAAAATCAAATATTTTACAATAGTTTTAATTGAATAATTTTAACAGAACTTGCGCTGATGTGTTCTGACCAATAAAAACGATTGTAAATATATATTTAGTCAAATCTCAATCATATTAACAAATGTAATTTATTTTTATTTTTTTAATAAAAATGCAATTTACACAAMAAGCACAATGAGTAAGGTAAAGAAAAGTAAGGTAAGTAATTAACAATTTTCTTTAAGTCAACGTTGGGTAATTCCAAAAATGGAGGGAAATATAGACCGTTAATCAATGGATTTTGGTTGTTTTCTAATCCAGTAAGGAAAAGTCTATAAAATATTGCTGCTTCTTCCTCAACTATTTAAGGGCCATCAGACAAAGATCCGAGCATTCAAATCTTGTAAAGTTTGATATTTTGGAATGCTTAAATTTGGTTTGAATTTGATTTTTTATCAGATTTTATTATAGATACAACCACTACATAAAAATTCAGTTCACCGATAAATGTAAAAAAAAAATGTATAGAACTGTTAAAATAACAAAGCCTTCAAAGCATCAGTTAAAAATATAATCATTGAAAGTGAAGATGATAATGGTGAAGTTTTTAGATAAAAAAGCATTTTAATATGTGTATATACATTAAATATCACTTGGTTTATGATTAATTTCTAGTTTCTTGAATATTGGTTGCTAAGCTTTGGCAATTTTAAAAATTCCACAGCGCAAGCTCTGATACTTTCTAAATTAAACCTACTGTATTATGAGTTTGATTAAAGCTATCACTATTTTCATTTGTTTCTTCTTCATCAACTTCATGATCCAATTCTTCATATATTTCATGATCCAATTCTTGATCTTGAATATTATCATCCTCTTCTCTAAGTTCTTGTGTATCTTTTTTTGCTCTAATTACAATATTCTCATTTTTCTCTTCATCTAAATGATTAGTACATTCTTCTAAAAATACACATTTTTCATTAGTACCAAAATTACCTAAGATTGTAGTTTGTTTTATTTCATTACTTTCTATTTTTACTACAACATTATCAGTTTTTATGGAAGTTATTCCATCTTTGTTATTTTCTTTTATACATGCACTAGAATCTATTTTAATGATAGATTCATTTTTAAGAGATGGAATTAAACCTTTAATTCCGCTCTCACTTAGCTGAGTTGCATTAATATCAACTTTCTTGGATTCTACTTCAATAGCATCAGTTGTATCAACATTACATGTATTTGATATATCTGAATCCTTGGAATTAGCAATAACATCATTATTATTTGCTTGTTTTGAAATAATTTCATTTTTGTTTAGTAGATTTGAAGTCATTTTTTCAATTTTTAACTGTGGCACACATGTTTCTAAAAAACAATTTTAATTTCATATATATATTACTAACTATTTTAATGATATTACATTAAGTTCATTTATATGAACTATAATAAATAATTGCTATTGAAAAATAATTCTGGGCAAAATAAGTATTAATTAAAATTGATCTAAGATAAATAAAATATAAATATAAATATAAATTTATTAGGCAGTACCTTTTTTACGGAAAGTATTTTAGAATTTTTAAATACTAATATAATACATTAATACCTATTGTATAAGTATAAATAAATATATATTTACCCTTCAACAACAAAATTATTTATGTTTAACTTAAAATATAATATGATAGTTTAAAATAGATAAAATACAAAATAAAGAATACAATTGAAATAAGTATAGATATTGTAAAAATAATGTCAGTTCCTTGGTTTGTTTCTAACCACACCCTCCATAAAGACTTAAACATTGAAACAGTTGAAACTTTATGAAAACTTAGTTAAAACCCACTACAAAAAGTTTCATTCCAAATTACTTCATAATCTAAATCCTCTGATAACAAATCAACACTCAGCCACATTCCAGATAACCCCCCTCGTCGCCTCAAAATACGTTGGTGTCGCAACCTCCTAAACTGAAACACCACTCCATATCCTAAATGTCTCAACTCAAAAGGGTCCTATCACTGCATAGCTTCCCTTCTCATGTATTCAAAGTCACTATTATAATTGTAAATCTATTTGCTTATTGTATTTTATAATGTACAGATTGTAAATGTTATTGTACTAAAAAAAAAAAAAAAAAGAAGATATTGTAAATTTAAAATATATTATAATATAGTTCAGAAAAATGGATGAATTTTTCGGTTATCATACCCCAACGGTCGGCCGGCTGACAGCGGCGGCAGCTGGGATATACCGATTCCATTCTCGTACCCCATTATATTTATCTCAATATTGTCAAGTTTCATTGCCATACGAATAAACAAATAATTGCCAAAAATATCATTTATTTTAATAAAATAATATTATATGAAATTATATGAATACAAAGAAATTATAATAAAATATAAATACCAATAAAGTTTAATAAAACATCAATACAAAAAAAATTATAATCAATACTATATGAATACCAAATAATTATTTTAATTAAAAAATATTTTTATGATGGAGGCATTGAGATAAATATAATAGGGTACGATAGCGGAATCGGTATATCCTGACCGCCGCCGCAGTCGGCCGGCCGACCGTTTGGGTACGATAACCGAAAAGTACCATTTTATTAATTAAGAAGTGTGATGTCGGGGGGTGGTTCAAAAATATATTAAAGGTCCTATTTTACAATTTAAAACAACTTACTAGACTTTGGACCAGGTCTTTTGCCAACAATATTTGTCTTAGTTGTTTTTGAAGGAGTAACTTTTTCTGTGTCAGAAGTAGATACTGTATTAATTTCAGAAGATAACTTATTTTCAACACTTGAAGACTTAGAATTCAAAGTTAACATTTTTTTCTTTTTTTAAATCAAATTTATAGTTCTGAGTATCTTATTGTTAAAGAAGTGCCTAAAATAAAAGTAAGGAGATAGTTAGTATTAAATATTTAAATTTTATTATTTTCAATAAAATGTATCAATGTATAATTGTATCAACAAAATATTATTTATAAATTATCAAACATACAACTTCATAAATTGTAATTAAACTTTAGTGCTTACTAAAGAATGGCTGCATAGACGCCCTGTAGCGATTTACTCAACCGATATCACACTATTAACAGTTCCATAAATAAAACTAGGTATTGCTTGAATACAGCATACAGATCCATAAAATATCATTGATGTAATGAATATTATTTGAGGTTTAATTTATTTGTCAATCACAGTTATCAATAATTTAATATTTATTTCGATACAATAGGATAGATTAAAACGATCATTAACCTTATAGAATGAATAAATTACAGGGCTAGTAACAAATTTACTGACTGTTCTATATACCACCTAACTTAAGCATGTAAGTTTAGCATTGATTTGTATAATTGGTTATTATATATTTGTATATTAAAACTTAAAAGATTATTAACATATAACCAAATAATGTATGATACAAGATAGTAATTAAAAGTACATCCATGTTAATAAAAATCTCGATAAAAATAGAATTATAATAAATTAATTATTGTTTAAAMTAATGGATAAACACAAAAAAATGTTCTGCTACCACTCAACAATGGGTATTTTTACCAGAATGAGAATATTTAATAAAAAACTAGGTTATGTAAGTATGTTAATAATGTTTAAAAGAAATAGAAATCAGTGGTTTATCTTAAATACATTTAAAAAGAAAAATTAAAATAAATAAATACCTAGTACATGATAATACTTGACAAGTTATAATTCTTCATATTTTTATATTCTATGTATAATGGTAGTGCCTACTTAAAGTGAAAATAAACTATTGTTATATCAAGTGATCAATTTTTGAACGGCTAAACTTTTATTAAATAAGTTTTGTTGTACTTTTTTCCGTTTTGACATTTTAATATTGTCTGTATTCAACTTTTCAAAAGCTATGTTAAAAGATCGCCAATGAATCTTTATTTTGGCTAACAACAGAAACTAAGAAAGTTAAGGTTAGAAGTACCCAAAGAGACTACATATCATGTCAAATTATGACACAAATGACAAATGAGATATATTTTATACATTAACATAACAACTCCAATTCATCATGGGTGGCGACTGTATATTTTAACTAGACAGGTTATAATAATAGCTAATTTATGATCAATGGTTTATTTAACTTAAATAATATCAAGGAAACTGAAAAACATTGCATGAATTCACAAGTGGAGCACATAAAGTAAAAATAGTAAATTAAATTTTTTTTACTCTATAATATCAACTTTAACAAATTTAATTCAATTCTTGATTTTCAAACCTAACAGTTTTTAACATCCCTAGATGACATACTAACAATTTTAAGGATTTATACAGTATTAAGTTTCATTCTATCAGTATCTGAACTATAACTCTATAGATAATAAAACTTATTTACACTATTTATCACTGATATTTTTTTAACCAAATATTTTGACTCAAAAAATATTGCAGGAGAGTTTCACTAGTCCAGACCGACTAGCAAAATGGGCTATCTTCTTTATGCACTCTACCTTGTTTTTCCACCCTATAACTATATTTTGATTTTAGACAATACATTCTAGTAATAAGTGAGATTATGTAAAATAGTTTTAATAACGAACAAACATTTTTTTGAATTAAGTAATAAAAATGGTTATATTATATTATCAAAGCACGTCTTCATTTTTTCGCTGTCTCGTTATTTGTCTCAATAATAATTATAAATAATAAATATAAAATGAAATATAAAAAATTTAAATTAAATAAATAAATATTATAATACTTGTGCCATGTCCCTCAGAAAAGCGTTAAATGTGTTTAACGTGACGTGAAAATATAAAACGCTGTATGAAATGTGAACTCAAGTATTGTCACMCAATGGCTAATTATATGATCAAAAAATATGATATGATGTAGGAAAAGAGAGTTGTAATCTTTAATAGTTTATTACCATTAAGTCACGATAATAAAGATATAAATTGTATATTAGAGCACATACAACAATCGTCCAATAATCGCAGGTAGACCGCAATCTGGAGTAGAGTGCATACAAGAAGATAGCCACAAAATATATATTATTAACATTATTTTTACAACTTGTAAACAGATTATGGTTATTTATAATTAATTTAAGTTATTTTTACAATTAAAACATTGTATTAATATTTTTACCTCTGGGTTTACCCATCTTAAACTTGTTTTACACTTTTAAAACATTAAAACTGATTACAATCGCAGTACCTTCAAAATTTAGTTGAAATCTGGATTAATAAGGCTACTGTTATTAAATGTTTATATAAATAAAAAAATTTGAAATTTTTAATAATATTTATCAATAATAATTGATTATGAAAAGTGATATATTATACTATGTACCTGTAAAGTTCAAATAACAACAGAAAACTTCATAAAAATGTTTTACTTACCTAATACTTCAATCTATAGTACAATTATTGCACTTTTAACACCCTTTGATGACAAATTTTCAAAACTTGCTATATTATTTTCATAATTATATTTATTTATTTTCATAATTGAAAATCTGTTTTCATAAGTAAATAACGGGCGGTGCAGCTGTACAAAATGTGCTAAACTGCAAACGACTATAGTAGTAGTCTATAGCTCTATAGCAAATAGCAAGTATACATCGTGTTTATGTAAATTCAGTATTTCTGATTTCAGTATTCTGTGTTTACTCTTAAGAATTATTATGATAAGATAAGATCATGGTAATCAATCAGTGTATCACTTTTAGGGATAATAAAATATCAATGGTGTATACACGTCTGGATAATATCATGACAACATATTTTATTTAGTCATGCTGTATCTTAGATCAATAATAGATCATAATATTATGACATAATARTATACTAATCTAATCATCTGTTGTATATTTTGTGCTATCAGTAATCCGTGTTCTTCATGGAAGTTGGAGGATACGGAATCATAATATACGATTATACGATGGAGGATCTCAGAACATTAATTCAAAGGCTTATAGATAATATCTATAAACCTTGCATTAATTCTTACCACGGACTTCTATACTTCTAAATTTGTGCCTTTGTGACATAGACATATAATAGAAATAATTCTATTATTATGTCTATGCCACCAGTGGCGGTTATAACTGACTTTTAAGGGGGGGCGGAAATTATAAAATTCATAGGACAATAATGAGTCGTTGGAATTTTTCCCCAATATTTTGAAATAATCCAAAATAGGTTCACCT